TATGGAGGCTATGACTAAATATGGAACGACCCACGTTATTAAAATGCAAGGATAGGGGCGTTGGTTTATCGCTCTTCCAAATTTAGTACCAAACAGATGAATAAATTGTGGTAACAAACGCCTAAATAGTCGTTATATAGTTTTCTAAATCCATATATAGGACCACCTCCCAAAATTCATTTTAAATTTAAGACAAATGTTTTTAAAGCGAGATTTTAAGATTTGTAAAATAAAAATACATATAACGCTCTTACTGATCGTTAATTTGTTAATGAATGTAAGTGAAATTTATCGCGATGTGTGTTTTAAATTTCAAAATTTTCAATATTAAAGCAGCTTATTGAAATCATGTAACTAGTATTATAATATTTCCTATTAAAAATTGCAATCTGATGTCTAAATAAATAGAATGTATTTTCACTAGAAACTTAATATTCATTACAAGCAATATTTTATACATACATACATATGCATGTGTATGCAGAGTGCGTGTTTATCATGGCAAACGCTTTTTATAAAAATCTGTCTAGTCATATAAAAATAAATTACATTAAATACATTATTATTAACAAGAACACCCTTAACTATTTTAATCACAAACATAAGAAAAAGTATAACGTACACAATATGTGCATATAGTTACATGTTAAACAAGTAAGAAAGTATTGTCGGACGTGACCGACCATATGATACCCTACACCAGTTATGAATATTAAATGTGATTTATTTTTCCTAATAATTCATTGTTCCGATGGATGAAAAACTAATTTTCTGAAAGAGGCTAGGGGCAAATATGGACCAAGCCCAATAAAGTTTTGTAAATATATTTATATAATATTTATTTGTGCTGAATTTCATCGCGATATTTGTTTTTATAAGTTAATTTTGGACATTCAAGTAATTTTCTGAAGGGGACTTTGTATGGGAGCTAGGGTCAAATGAGGCCCTTTCGTTATGAAATTTGGCAAGGTCATCCAACTTAGTTGTACAGCTTTTTACCGATATACAGGTATAGTTAACATAATTATGAGCTAAGAAGCCCTTTTCTGTTGTATGGTGGCTAGGTAAAATAATGGACCGATTTTAACCATTTTCATTATCTTGAAAATTGCGACCTGTACCTTGAGCACAAGGTTTACATGGACAGCCAGCCAGACGAACGGACATAGCTTAATCGACTCAGAAATCAATTCTAAGCCGATTGGTAAGTATACTAAGGTGGGTATAGGACGAATATTTTAGTATGTTACAAATATCAGAAGAAACCCTCCCCAATGAAGAAATGTAGGGTATAAAAACATCCTGCAACAAACGAGTTGAAATTTTATATATTTTTTATGTTTAATTAAAACCTTTTTCCTTTGTTTTAAACAATACTTTTAACTTCGAAGTACATAGTAGGTCTAACAAACAAAGTTAGTTAGTTAGTCAGTTAGTTAGTTAGTTAGTTAGTTAGTTAGTTAGTTAGTTAGTTAGTAGTTAGTTAGTTAGTTAGTTAGTTAGTTAGTTAGTTAGTAGTTAGTAGTTAGTTAGTTAGTTAGTTAGTAGTTAGTTAGTTAGTTAGTTAGTTAGTTAGTAGTTAGTTAGTTAGTTAGTTAGTTAGTTAGTTAGTTAGTTAGTTAGTTAGTTAGTTAGTTAGTTAGTTAGTTAGTTAGTTAGTTAGTTAGTTTAGTTAGTTAGTTAGTTAGTTAGTTAGTTAGTTAGTAGTTAGTTAGTTAGTTAGTTAGTTAGTAGTTAGTTAGTTAGTTAGTTAGTTAGTTAGTTAGTTAGTTAGTTAGTTAGTTAGTTAGTTAGTTAGTTAGTAGTTAGTTAGGTTAGTTAGTTAGTTAGTTAGTTAGTTAGTTAGTTAGTTAGTTAGTTAGTTAGTTAGTTAGTTAGTTTAGTTAGTTAGTTAGTTAGTTAGTTAGTTAGTTAGTTAGTTAGTTAGTTAGTTAGTTAGTTAGTTAGTTAGTTAGTTAGTTAGTTAGTTAGTTAGTTAGTTAGTTAGTTAGTTAGTTAGTTAGTTAGTAGTTAGTTAGTTAGTTAGTTAGTTAGTTAGTTAGTTAGTTAGTTAGTTAGTTAGTTAGTTAGTTAGTTAGTTAGTAGTTAGTTAGTTAGTTAGTTAGTTAGTTAGTTAGTTAGTTAGTTAGTTAGTTAGTTAGTAGTTAGTTAGTTAGTAGTAGTTAGTTAGTTAGTTAGTTAGTTAGTTAGTTAGTTAGTTAGTTAGTTAGTTAGTTAGTTAGTAGTTAGTTAGTTAGTTAGTTAGTTAGTTAGTTAGTTAGTTAGTTAGTTAGTTAGTTAGTTAGTTAGTTAGTTAGTTAGTTAGTTAGTTAGTTAGTTAGTTAGTTAGTTAGTTAGTTAGTTAGTTAGTTAGTTAGTAGTTAGTTAGTTAGTTAGTTAGTTAGTTAGTTAGTTAGTTAGTTAGTTAGTTAGTAGTTAGTTAGTTAGTTAGTTAGTTAGTTAGTTAGTTAGTTAGTTAGTTAGTTAGTTAGTTAGTTAGTTAGTTAGTTAGTTAGTTAGTTAGTAGTTAGTTAGTTAGTTAGTTAGTTAGTTAGTTAGTTAGTTAGTTAGTTAGTTAGTTAGTTAGTTAGTAGTTAGTTAGTTAGTTAGTTAGTTAGTTAGTTAGTTAGTTAGTTAGTTAGTTAGTTAGTTAGTTAGTTAGTTAGTTAGTTAGTTAGTTAGTTAGTTAGTTAGTTAGTTAGTTAGTTAGTTAGTTAGTTAGTTAGTTAGTTAGTTAGTTAGTTAGTTAGTTAGTTAGTTAGTTAGTTAGTTAGTTAGTTAGTTAGTAGTTAGTTAGTTAGTTAGTTAGTTAGTTAGTTAGTTAGTAGTTAGTTAGTTAGTTAGTTAGTTAGTTAGTTAGTTAGTTAGTTAGTTAGTTAGTTAGTTAGTTAGTTAGTAGTTAGTTAGTTAGTTAGTTAGTTAGTTAGTTAGTTAGTTAGTTAGTTAGTAGTTAGTTAGTTAGTTAGTTAGTTAGTTAGTTAGTTAGTTAGTTAGTAGTTAGTTAGTTAGTTAGTAGTAGTAGTTAGTTAGTTAGTAGTTAGTTAGTTAGTTAGTTAGTTAGTTAGTTAGTTAGTTATAGTTAGTTAGTTAGTAGTTAGTTAGTTAGTTAGTTAGTTAGTTAGTTAGTTAGTTAGTTAGTTAGTTAGTTAGTTAGTTAGTTAGTTAGTTAGTTAGTTAGTTAGTTAGTTAGTTAGTAGTTAGTTAGTTAGTTAGTTAGTTAGTTAGTTAGTTAGTTAGTTAGTTAGTTAGTTAGTTAGTTAGTTAGTTAGTTAGTAGTTAGTTAGTTAGTTAGTTAGTTAGTTAGTTAGTTAGTTAGTTAGTTAGTTAGTTAGTTAGTTAGTTAGTTAGTTAGTAGTAGTTAGTTAGTTAGTTAGTTAGTTAGTTAGTAGTTAGTTAGTTAGTTAGCCTTTATTCAAATTTTGTTGGCCTGTGTTATTGTTGTTTGTTTTGAAGGTCAAATAAATAATATTGCAATACAGGTCTTTTCTCTTCAAATTGTAAAAATCAAGACGAACCGTCTCAATTTTATTGTTATTAACAATTTATGTACTTTAATAATAATAATAATTTACAGCACTTTATAATATCATTAATATTCAATTATTTTAAATATAAAATTTAAAATATATGTAAGTGTTATTTGTGCCCTAATAAAGGTACTTTCGATTATATTGGAAAAATGTGTATAAATATTTATTTCTAACCATACCACATCAAATGTTATTTTACAAAAGGTTTTATATAACACTGGTCTACAAGATATTAATGTACAGAATCTAAGTTGTATTTTAATTTTTCTTAATATATCGCGTTTCTGAATATTTGTATTAACCCGTGTATTGCCGATCTTATTTTTCAAATTCTTTTTTGTTGGTGGTATTATAAAACATTTAAAGTAGTAAGCTTGCAAAAATTCCAAGTGTGGACCACATTTGTGAGTAATAAATAAGGATAGTTTGAAAGGAGTACGATTAAGCAAACACCTATCGATCCTGTGTACGCTCATTTCTTAGAAAATATTGTTGGAAACCCAATAACTACATAGTAATTTGTGAACGAAATTATCATTCAATATTTATAATTTAAGTTTTCTGGATGTAGTTCCTTGTATTTGCTTGCAATCAGTGTGCCTAAATTATGATATATTAATCTATTTGCAATGAAAGCCTGGCAATGACATTAATTTTTTCAAAAAAGTGTTCATTTTCTCTGGCTCATATCTTGTAAACCGTTCGGAATTTTCATTTACTCAAACCAAAATTGTAGCTCTTGTCATAAAGAATGAAAATTATGAACATATATAATCAAAAAAAAAACTTTTCTTCATTTCATTTCAATGTTTTACATTGTGAAATTGCACTTATAATATTAATGACACCAGTACGTATACGTGTTATTGATTTAATGATATTACAAATATGAAGTATACGTCTTATTTAAAAGTAAAAAATCGAAGATCAAGTTTACATGTTCACAATTTAATGACAAGAGCTACAACTTTGCCTCAGAGAATAAATCAAAATCAAAGGCGTTCAGCCCAACATACATATTTATGCCTTTAGATCCAAAGAAGACTAAAACTTGTCTTTGCAGACCAGTGTAAAAAGAGTATGATATAAGAATAATATCCTGATGTAGGTAAAACAGTTAAATTAGTGGTCGGCACCCAGATACCACAAAGTTCCACAGAAATCTGCTTTATATATGTACACAATACAAACGTCAAAGATATTCAGATGTTAAAACTTAAATAAATTTGATTATATATCGATAGTATGCGTGTGTTCTTCATATGCCGACCGCTGTTTTCACAACAATTTACTAAAATTATAGAGCAATTCCTAAGGTGTGACAAAATTTATTACTCAGCCATTAACAAGCATATTTAAATTCACACTTTTATCGTTTAAAGCTTAATAGTTATTTAAGAATCTAACCAGTTACAACAAAATCTTCATAGTTAAAATTGTTTTAAGTTATTAAAAAAAAAAAAAAATATTTATTAGTTTATCATAAAAACAATGACTACCTCGACTAAAGGAATATTTCTAAAGACAACTACTATCAATTGTTGTAAGTTTTTCATTATGAATTGGAAATGCTGGAAGTGGCTGGGTATAATTGTACCCGATAAAAGTGAACCAACTCGTTTTAAACAGCTCACTTGGAATTATTTTATTAATATAACAGTCAGCTGCATGTTTCCAATACATTTAATGTTGGGAATATTCTTAACAGATGCCACCAAGTCAGAGCTTTTTGAAAATATTGCCATTTTTATAACCAGTGTGGGTTGCATTCTTAAGTTGATAATGTTTGCTGTTAATATAAAACGTATCAGAAGAATGGAAAATATTCTACTAACACTTGATGAACGCATCCAACATGTAGAGGATCGGAAGTACTGGTCGCATTTTATAAAACCTCATTTGATTTACTTGCAGCGTATGTATTTAGTGGTTTACACTGGAATAGGTTTCTTTGCCAGTTTGGCGTTTATTGTGAGGAGAGAGCAAAAGCTTTTCTATAATGGTTGGTTGCCCTTTAATTGGCATCAAACTTGGTGGCATTATTCCGTTGCTTTGGGTTATCAATTTTATGGAATATTTTTTCAGTTTTTACAAAATTTTGCAAACGATAGTTTCTCACCGAAAGCATTATGTGCTCTATCGGGTCATATAAAGTTGTTGTATAAAAGAGTGGCTCGCATTGGATATGATTTATCAGTAGTATCTGACGAACATGAAATGGAGTTGAATAGATGTGTAAGACATCAAAAGGATTTGTATGAGTAAATGGTTTTCATACTTTAAAGTTTGTTTTCAAACGAATAATATTAATAAAAATTTAATCTTTTTAGACTCTTCGATACCATTCAGGAGATCATTTCGTGGCCCATATTCTTTCAACTCTTTGTCTCTTTGGCGAATATGTGTGTTGCCATGGTTGCATTACTCTTCTTTGTCACTGATATTTTCTATCGGATCTATTATGTCATGTACTTTTTGGGCATGATAATGCAACTATTTCCGGTCTGCTATTATGGCAGTGATTTTGTAATGCTTTTCGAAAAACTCCATTATGCAGTATTCTCATGCAATTGGACGGGACAATCGAAACGCTTTAAGCGTCACATGATGTTGTTTACGGAACGTTCACTAAAAAACACCATGGCTTTGGCTGGTGGTATATTTCCCATACATTTGACAACATTTTTTGCCACCTGCAAGGGAGCGTATTCTATGTTTGCCGTTGTTATAACCATGAAGTGAACGCAAAACAATGGAGAAAAATAATGAATATTAGATGTGTAACTTATATATGTATATATCTATGATTGTGTGTGTGTGAAAGAGAGAGAGAGAGCGAAATGCTAAAAGAATACGAAAGTGGAAAGTGCAGTGGATTGGAAATGAATTTATGATTTTATTTGAAAATTTGCACGAATAAACACAAAAACTTTTCATAAAATTCTTGTTATGCACATTTATATGGAAAATAAATGTTTAAAATTTTCCAGCTTTTCTGTTTTATTTTCTGTAATTTCGAGGAAAACAATGAAATATGTTAAATTGGAAAGTGAATTTATATTTGTTTTATAGTGAAATTGTTGGTTTTTTTAAAGTGCTCTCCAATTTTAGTGTTTTAGGAAAAAAAAAATAAAAATAAATATTCCTTTTGACTTATTTGTTTGCCAAAATATTTAGCTAATCAAATGTTTTAGTTGAAAAAAAATAAACTAGCACCATGAGTGGTGAATGAAGTTTTTAGGAAAATTTGTAATTTCGTATGAGAGATATTGATATGAGATGGAACAAATGTAAATCTGAGTTTTTATGCCTTAGAATATCCCGAGCATCAGAATTTCTAAGAATCTCATATAGGAATATCTCTCAATCGATGTGTTTTAATGTACAGAATACGAGAAAAATATAACAATATATTTTTTTTTGGAATATGTTAGGTTAGGTTGATAGGAGAATGTAAACTACATCAAATCGGAAGAAATACACCTGGATGCATTATTTTCCAATGTTCAGAAACTCAGTTTCCTGGACGAAATTCCTAAGAATTTTCCAATCAGTGTAAGGCTGATGTCAGAGTGGGCGTTACAAGCGATGCGAAGCTTTGCGCTACAAACTTTTGCTTGTGTTTTCTCGCATCAAGCTTCGCTTTCACTCTGACATCAGCCTTATTCAGGAATATTATTTCCGGAATAACATCCCTTCCAAGATAGTAATAGCAAAAAAAGTGCTCCAGAGTTTCACTGTCCAATTCACATGCTCTACATTCGCCTGAATTCGCACGTCCAATTTTGTATAGATGTGCTCGTAATCCTGTGTGTCCACTCAGAATACGTACCATTATACTAACTTCAGACTTTTTGAGGAGATTTCTCGTCTTGCTCTCATCAGGATTACCCCATAAAATGTTTGTAGTTCTACCCACCATTTCATTATTCTAAGAGGCCTTATGGGATACTCTCACCCATATTTTTAATTCAGCTTTTGTTGCCTCGAAAGGTTTTGCGTTCATCAGGTTAACTACCTCGAGCATTCTTCCTTAATAGCTATTACATTACCTCTGGGATAGTATTCAGTTAAAGCTTTCTTACAATCCAATACGGTCTTAGATTTAATTCTATCACCTGATATCGCCCTAATTGCCTTCTGGCTGTCGGTAAATATATTAAGGGATGTGGGCGCCATATTTATTCTAATCCAATTTTAGAGCAATCCGTGTTACGACGGTTTCCTGCTGGTATTTGTTCTAATCTTCCGCTTGACCAAGACATTCCATCAGCGTTTCAAGTTTCAAGTTTCCGACATATTATGTGTCTGGTATACGAGCAGGCACCAGATTATTGAAGCATAAGCTAGAATTGGCCTAATTACATTTTTATGAATCCAATTTGTCATAGTAGGACTAAGACCCCATTTCATGCCTATAGTTATCTTACATATCCAGCAGCGATGTGCCTTGTTGATCCTATCCTTTATGTGGTGTCCCCATTTTAATTTCCGGTCAAGGATTACACCTAAGTACTTAGCTTTGTGTGTCACCGGTATCTTCTTGCCCAGGAAGCAATGTTCAGTATACATAGACATTTTAGTCCTTCCTGTGAAAAAACAGATTTTCGTCTTCGTCGGGTTAACATTGAGGCCTCTCGGTTAAGCCTAGTTCAAGGTCGTATTCAGAACCTCATCAGCTCTTCTACACAAGTAATTTGGATCATTTCCCTTTAAAAGTATTACGACATCGTCTGCATAGCAGATAAGTCTAAGTCCTTTCTCAGTTAGGGTCCTTAGAAGGCTAGTAATCGTGGTAACCAAGAGTAAAGGTGACAAAATGCCACCCTGTGGTATACCGCGAAATACCTTTTTTCTGATAGTTATACTGTACATCTCGCAGCTTATCCATCTGTTTCTTAGCATGTAGTTGATCCCAAAAGTGCCGTAAAAATGCCATCCGGCCCTGCAGCTTTATAGGAAGCAAAGCTCCCTCCCCTTCCTCCAATATCGCTTCATCTATGTTATTTGATATACCGGGTGAGAAATGAGAGTCCATTAGGAATTTCATTGTCTCCTCCATATCCTCTAGCCTCCTGCCCGTTTTATCGATCATATATTCCGGTTGAACATGAGTTTTGGATAGGATTTTTTTATCTTCGATACGTCATTTACGCTGCCTACCTGTTCACAGAAAAGCTTCCAGAAGTCTCTTTTGGCTTTTCGAACAATTTTCTTACATTCACCAAGTTTACTACGATACTTACCCCAGTATGCTGCCGTGCTAGGTTAAATAGTTTGCGTAGAGTCTTTCCAAGGTTCCGGATCTCCCCTGTTACCCAAGGTTTCTCCTGGGCAGATCTCCGCTCTCGCAGAGGGTAGATGCCCTCGAACGATTCAACCAGGGCATTTGTAAACATTTCTATTTAGGCTTCTATATCCTTTTATTTCGACATTGAAAAGTGCCCTGACATAAACGGTTCTTTAGTAAAGTCTCGAACATTGTCTAGACTTATTGCGAAACTTTATCGGCTTTGGTGACAGCCATAGTATTCTCAATCTTATGTACCGATGGTCAGAAAAGGAGTGCTCGTCCGAAGTGTCGGAAAATCGAAGGTCACGACCTTGCTTAACTACCATTGCATCCGATGTGGATTGTGACATAAGATACATGTTCTCGGGTCGGAGAATGTAAAGTGATGGCTCTAGATATCTCCAAGGCGTTCGTTAGGGTGTGGCATGTTACGTTTTTATCAAAACTAATTGCTTTTGATGTAGACAATTACTTCACTCGATTTATATCGAGCTTGTCAAAGACGGAGTTTCGATACTACAATGGATTCGCTGAAATAAGGGATATTGTTTCCGAATCAGCACACGAAATAACACTGGGATTAGTGAAAATTATTTACAAAGTCTTTTCATCGTTGGTCTATGTTATTAATAACTAGCATACCCTGGGTGCTTCGCTACCCTAACTTAAATTAAATGCATACAAAATTTTGTTTACTTTTATAAAAAAAAATTAAAATTAATTAAACATTTTTTTAATGTTTCAGTTTTATACGTTCAATATCATCTGATTAAATTCGCATTCAGTAAGAAGCTGAATGCGAAAGTACTATTGAAAAAATGTACTATAAAATACCTCTAATAGATTAATATTTAATCAAAAATTTTATGTTTCTGTGTTCAATATTATATACAATCCAAGAAATATAGTTTGATGAATGAATGAAAAGTACCAAAAGTCCCTTTCAGTAGATTCTCATTCACTAAGGTCCTTACATTTTAAATTTTATTTTCAATATCGTAAATATATCAAAAAGTACCATCGGAAAAACGAAGAAGTACAAAAATCTCTCTCAATCAATTCTCATTTAATAAGGACCGTGTGTTCCGGTTAACCATTATAAAGAATCTAAAAGGTACCATTTGAAGAATAGAAAAGTACCAAATAGTTACCACTTACAGAATATAATTTAGTCAAGACCATCTATGTTAAAATAATGTTCCTAGGTTGAATATTTTAGAAAATTAAAAAAGTACAATTTATGAGATAAAAAGTACTAAAAAGTTCTCTCTTAAAGAATCTTATTCAATAAGGACCGTGTATTTTTAATAATCATGTGTGAACTCATATTATAGAACGTACAGAGTATCATTTGAAGAATGAAAAAGTACTAAAAGTGGAATAAATTCTACCTTAGTGGAAAGTACTAATAAAAAATAGTACAATTTTTCCCCTTTTCGCTTAGAAATATACTTTTTTGAGAATTAAGTTTACAAAATGTTCCGTATTTAAATCTATATATCACAGATAAAACTCAAACGATTCAAATCTGCATTCATTTGTTCCAGAAAAATAGTGCTTTCAAAAAGTACCAAACAATTTACTCGAATTTGGTCCTATATAGATCTTAGTATTCAAATTCCAAAATAATATACCAACAGCTTATTTTGTGTGAGTAAATAAACTACCTTTTAAAATTTTATAAAAATTGGCTCAATGAGTTTGAATAAAATTATATTTCCCGTTTTTTCCCTTTTTGGTACTTTTTTCCGCAGTGAAATAGCGAAAATTTTAAAACAATAAATATTACAGAGTTAGTCCGTAATTTAATAGGAATAATTCAATAAACCGAAAAAGTTTTCTTAATGTGTTAAAAAAAAGTATCAAAAATACAGTTTTCTCCCTTTTACACCCAAAAAGTACAGAATATTAAAAAAGTACGAAACAGGTGTCTCATTATTTTGGGAGATGTATCCAAAATATTTATAAAAATTTTATTATATTAATTAGTTCAAAAGTTATAAAGGGCCAAAAAAGGTACCAAAATCACAATTGTTACACATTTTTACCCCTTAAAAGTACGAATTTCAAGAAAGTACCAGACACCCATCTGCTAATTTTAAGAGTAGATGCAGGTACATTTAAAATGTTTCTTGTATCACTAATATTGTGTAAGATAATTAAGGAAACCAGTTTTACCCGTTTTTTCCCCTTTTACCCGTAAATGTACAAATTTTCAAAATTCCCTCCTTTAGCCGTTTGGGCTGTGCGATGATGAATCAGTCAGTCAGTAACGCTACTCTTTTATATATATAGATTGAAATTTGTTTAGATTATTTCTGTTATTTTCAATATTTTTCCGCGGATACCCTAGTATGCCTGTTTGTCACGTATCTCAATAATAAATTTAAATTAAAGAAATTCACACAAATTTGTATTCAATATTATTTTAAGCAATTTGGTCTTGAAA